AGGGGTAGGAGGGGGGAAGAGAGAGAGGGAGGGAGGGTGGAGGGGGAGCTTTCCTTTCCCGCTTCGAGGGTAGTATCCGGGAGCCTTTCCTTTCCTTAAGAGGCTCTGTTTCGCCGCCATGAGCCGCATAGGTTCTTGTCTGCTTCCTCCTCCCGCTCAGCTTGCTTGCCTTCTCCGGAGGCAAACCGTAAGGGCGAGCCCTCATTGGGGCTGCACCGCCTCCCAGGGCAGTGTATCAGGGAGGGCTGGATGTGTGGCCGGACGCTTCCTCATGAACACGTGTCTAGGGAGCTCCTCCTGGCATCCTATCATGATGCCGGGGAGGTGTAGAGAAAACCGACCTCCGAGGCTTGTGGCATCTGAAAGGACCAAAGCTTTTGGGTTGGCCTAACAGGTTTTTGTGGACTCGGCCCCCTAGTTACAGGTGGGCAAAGAAGTGTAATTCAGTGCTTGAGCCCCTGGGTTGGCAGGGCTGCCACCCGGGCACAAACTAGCCCCCTGGTTCAGAGCCAGAAGTCTGAGGTTGACACTCCCGCCCCTTCCCAGGGTTTCCTCTTCCAGCTCCTCCGTTCAGAGAGGCTGGAGGGCAAGCCTGCACTGCCCACTGATTTCTCTCTTATATATTAGGAAGCTTACAGGTGATTTGTGTGGCAAAAATCAGGTTCGCTCAGGGGTAAGGGAGGGTTAAATCTCCAGTCAGGTTTAAAAAGTAGGTTTGTACACGAGTGCCATATGGGCGGTTGGAAAGAAACGTGGGCCTAAGGTGCCCTCTTTGAAGGGCATTTAACTGGTCAAGTAATGACTGGGTCTTTTAAAAACTTTAATTTGAGACCCGTAGCTGGCTGGATAGCTCAGTGTATCTGGCAGTGGAGTTCAGTTCCCCCACTGTGCCTCGTGGGAGAAGAGCCAGTCTGGATAGGCTCAGTGTATCTGGCAGTGGAGTTCAATTCCCCCACTCTGCCTCCTGGGAGAAGAGGCAGCCTGTGTAGCCTTGGGCAACAGCTGCACAGTCCCAGGGCACCCCCAGAAGAAGGGGGATGGCAACCACCTCTGAGTATTCTTTACCTGAAAAACTCTGAAAAGAGTCACCGCAAGTCAGAATTGACTTGATACCACATGAGCGTTGTTAATATGAAACCCACAAACCGCATGAGCGTTGTTAATATGAAACCCACAAAGATCATAATCCTCAACAAGTCAGATCATTTTTGCATTTCAACCTCTGTCATTTCTCCAGTTCAGTTCACTGTGAGTGTAGAGTTAATGTAATACAATTCTATCTACGCAGACAGCCTCGTTTGCATAATATGCAAAAAGATTCGGTTGTAGTGTTTTATAATATGTATAGTATTTGCATATTATGCAAATTATACACATTAAGTGCTGCATTATTTTCATACCAATATGCTTTAGCCTTGACATTGTTTTTGTAGTAACTACTGTTGTGTGTTTTCTGCACAGAACAATGGAAGAGGCGGGAAGGGATGAGAGGTTTGCTGAAAGTCAGAAAATCTCACTGGTGCAGAGGAAAGTTTTCAGGAAGTCTTGGTGTGGTGAGGCTTAGGAAATTACAGACAGTAAGAATTTTTTCAAATACTCATTACATCTTTACCATTGACTGCCAGGAGGACAAATAAGTGGATTCAAAAGCCAAGCAAACTTAACTCTCACTAGAAGCAAAATTACTAAATCAACACAATTGTACTTTAACCATATCATGCGAAGAAAGATCAGTAGATTGATTCAATAAAGGAGCCCATCGCCTTTAGTTCTTAAGAGTTGAGCAGATCTGTTAATGATAAGACTTTTGGGAGATTTTTAATGGGGGGAGGTCATCATAAACCAGAAGCAACTTGGTGGTATATTAGAGCAGCACACAAGATCCAGCGAAGTTGACCATCTGTTTAATTCTAAGCCACAGGAGTATAATTTAAAAGTACATACAGCAGGTGTCTACAAACATAAATGTTTTTTTGTAGTATAAAATTAATATAATATCTCTATCGGGAAAAGAATCACTGCTGGACACACCCATATCATCTACTACAAAGTGGTATCTGTTTTACAGTCATCATTCAGCTGAAGTGCCCAGTGTTTCTAAAAATATGTACTGGCAACCATTACATGTACAGTTCCAGTTTTTGCCAAACTAAATGTAATTTTAAATCTAGAGAGACTTTAGATAGTTGTGAGGGGATATTTAAATGGCAGTCCACTGGTACTTGATAGTTGTAGGTATATTTATTATTCTAGTCATGAAACGTGACTTCCTGAATGAAAATGTTCTTATTTTTCCCCGCTGCCAGATCCAATACCTTAGTAGTGAATATGATGTAGTATTTCAGTGAGTCACTATTTTTTTTTGGAATCTACGTATTAATATCTAATGTTATCACTAAGAATTGCTGGATAACTCAGTGGTTTAGGTACAAGGCTGCAGAGCCAGAGGCTGGGAGTTCGATTCCCCACTGTGCCTTCTTGACAGGGGCTGGACTTGATGATTCACAGGATCCCTTCCTGCTCTGCAGTTCTAAGATGATGATCATAACGAGAGAGTGGTATCCAACTATTTTTCCTCTGCTAAAGGAAAGCATCTATCAATGGAATAGGAAGGAGATATTTTTAGCAATCCCTAGCCCACTTCTAGCACTACACAAATCTGTTCTGCATGATTGAGGGGTCCTTGAGCAGATGGGGGGGGGTTGTAGGCTGTACAGGACAGGAATTGCCTAGAATCATCTCCCACTCCATTCCACTGACAGATGGATGGTAGCTGGATATCAGCCACACAGAAAAACCTACAACAGAACAAAAAAAAACCCTCGCTAATTACAGCATCATAAATACTGTACAAAACACATACTAAAACAGGAGTCCTCAAATATCAGATTTAAATTATGTTGACAAAAGAACTCCCAAGATTCACAAGGCTTTGAGGAAGGGGGGACTTTAATTAATTGGCTTACAATTATAGAGTGGATACGTTTTATGGTTCAGAGCAGCATCAAGAATTACATGAGTCTCATTTTGTGAATGCTGTAAGTCCTCCCCATCTCCTGCAGAAGAAACCTGGTGGATTCAGGGATCCCAGCATGTAGACCTTCTAGTCATTATCTTTCTCTCAAAACATGTTGAGGGCTGGAGTGATATTTAGGTCTATTTGTCATGGTAACATTTTTTCCCCACACCGTCATGGCATGGGAGATTCTGAACCATATAAGCCAACACAGGTTGTGTCTCTTACTCATGCCAATCTTGCCTTAATTTCTGATGCTGACATTGCTAGAATGGGGAGGAGATATAACATAGTCTTCTGCCACATGACCTGGACCTGCTGACATTTACCTTCAGAAGAAGCCATATTGCATCAGCAGCTACAGCACCATGAGCCTACTAAAAGATGCCAAAGTGTATTTTGATATTGTATTGTTTAGTGTAGACAACATAACATGGGTGGTACTTGTACTGTATAGGCAAAACATTAGGTACAGACTGAGCAGAGTGTGCTGAGGATACACTGCAGTACAGTGGGGTCTTGACTTGAGAACTTAATCTGTATTGGAAGGCGGTTCTCAAGTCAAAAAGTCTGTAAGTCAAGTCTCCATTGACCTACAGTGCATTGGAAACCAATTAATCCCGTAACAGGCCGTTTTTGTTCTATTTTGGTTTTTTTCTGGTCTGTAAGTCAAATCTCAGTCTGCAAGTCAAACCTAAATTTTGCGGCCAGAGAAGTCTGTAACTCAAAAAGTCTGTAAGTCAAGCCTAGGCAAAACACTATGTGCAGAGTGTGCTGAGGATACACTGCAGTAGTAACAGTGTTGTGCCATCTTATTGCTATCAAGCCACCTACTTTTCCTATTTTAATACTAAATTTTGCGGCCAGAGAAGTCTGTAACTCAAAAAGTCTGTAAGTCAAGCCATCTGTAAGTCAAGGGTCCACTGTAGTAACAGTGTTGTGCCATCTTATTGTTATCAAGCCACCTACTTTTCCTATTTTAATACTAACTTTCAAATCATTGGTAAATATTGCTTGTGGTACATTTTTCCTCATCTATTTTGGTTTTTATGCCCTTGTTTATCACTTTTTGTGGCAAGAATCCAGTGCTGCACTTCTGCTGGATCACACTGCTTCTGCTATAATCAACAATCCCCCTCTTCCTCTTGCAGGTCACATGCACCCTGAAATCCTGATTTGGAGGGCTAAGGAATCCCCTGAAGTAGAGTGCCAGCATCAGTCTCACTGCAGGTGAGCCAGACAAGCCCCAAGATCGAAGTAGGAACTCTTTAGTTACTGGCAATCTGCTGGTGCTGTTAATAGCATCTGGGGCATTGCTGCTAATTAAAAGAGTTTGTGAGTGGGTGGGTCATCTGCTTTACTAGCCATCTCCACCTGCTGGAAATGACATCACCTTTTTACAAGTGCAATTTACTCAACAGGAGTATGGCCTCTGAAAGATTTGTGTTGCAAGGATAATGTTGCAAGAGGAGGAAATATGCATTTGCTTTCAGCATTAGACATAGACATTATACGTGTGGGGTGTAGCTTGCCAAAAATATGGAGAAATATCTTGCACAGTTCATTTGATTACTATGAACTCTGCTATATATGCTATGTGGTGAGCACTCAGATACTAAATGATTTCATATGCTGATGGTGTAAGTGTACAAGAAGATGCAGTGCAGGGCCTAAAAAACCCATATTTGAGGCTTTTGTGAGGCCAATTGTATGTTTGTAACTAGAGATGCGCATTTGGATTCAGAAATACTCAGTATTCACTGAATAATGGCATATTCAGGTAGTTCCGAATATATATGAATCTGAATTTGGTAGTTCCAAATATCTGTAATAATGCAAGTGCAATTTACTCAACAGGATTTTGGCCTCTGAAAGATTTGTGTTGCCTGCAAGGATAATGTTGCAAGAGGAGGAAGTATGCATTTCCCTTAAAAGAGAACTGTGTTGTTCGGATATGCTCCGGTGCTTTTGTCATATATAGACAGATATGATAATTTAATTTTTGCTGATTTTGTGGCTGGGAAAAAGATCAATGAAAAGCAGCAGATGTTGCCTTCCATACCATGCAGCTCAGTCATATTCAAGGAAGGTCTTACTGCCCAGCTCTTATTCCCGTGCAGATCTCTCCTGTGCAAAGCAGCCTTGTGGCTGGTGGGAACTCCCCTTCAAGTACAGACACATCTGATGTGGGGAAGAGGAAATGGAAGGCTCCCGGTGGGCCCTGTTTTAGTTCCGAATATATATGAATCTGAATTTGGTAGTTCCAAATATCTGTAATAATAATTCCTAATATTCAGAATCCCATTTTCTTCTCTAGGTTAGAAAGAAATTGAAAGGCGGGCATAGGTGCTCACAAATCCCTGGGCATGTGTTGTTCGGATATGCTCCGGTGCTTTTGTCATATATAGACAGATATGATAATTTAATTTTTGCTGATTTTGTGGCTGGGAAAAAGATCAATGAAAAGCAGCAGATGTTGCCTTCCATACCATGCAGCTCAGTCATATTCAAGGAAGGTCTTACTGCCCAGCTCTTATTCCCGTGCAGATCTCTCCTGTGCAAAGCAGCCTTGTGGCTGGTGGGAACTCCCCTTCAAGTACAGACACATCTGATGTGGGGAAGAGGAAACGGAAGGCTCCCGGTGGGCCCTGTTTCAGAAGCAGGGGACACTGAAATCACCCCTGCTTCTCCAGCTGCACTTGCCTCACCTCTTGCCAGAACTTGTAGTGATGACAAGTTAGCAACCCTGTTAGGAACATGCAGTCAAAAACTGGAGCTCTCAAGAAGTCAATAATCTGGAAGCAGTTTCAACAGTGTGCAACAGATGTTCACATGGCTGAGTACATGCGCTGCATGAAGGTGCTCAAGCATGGGCAGAACATGGGCCACTTCTTCAGTTGCAGCATGCTTACCCACTTGAAGGGCATTGCTACTGGCAAATGAAGTGGATACTATTAGGGCTTCCTTATGAAGGGTAAGAGTCATCAGAGGGCAGAACCTGAGACACCAGCCTAGGGAAGAAGGGAAGCCAATGGGCAAACAGCAAAAGGTGGGAAGCAGCAAATGCCAGACCCACATTTCAAGAATAAGTTCCTGTCTGCCTTGGAGGAGCTTGGAGGGGTGCAGGAAAAGCCTTCTGCAAACATAAGAATGCTAGGATTCCTCATTGCCTGGGGTAGATGATAGCCCCGTATGACTAACCATTATCTCCAGTGGCTCAAGATACTAGGTGGACGTTTGAATCTAGATGGGTGGAGTAAAAGCTAAACAAACAAATAAATAAATAAATAAATTCCATAGAGGGAGAACAGTATTTTCTCCCGCACGAAGTGGTGGCCCTGGCCGGTGAGGGACAGGACCTGCTCCCCTACAGGTTTGCCTCCTTAGGGAAGAAGGGGGAGTATATTCTAGCAACCCTCTTCAACCCCTGAATAAAACAGCAGCCAATGGCTATTAAATAATGGCAAGAATTTATTGATTGATTGATTGATTTGATTTGTAATGGCAAGAATTGATTGATTGATTGATTGATTGATTTGATTTGATTTGATTTGATTTGATTTGTACCCCACCCATTTGGTCTATATGACCACTCTTAAAAGAGGGCAAAGCCAGTCAACCTTCCATCACATCCAGCAGCAGCTAATGCAGAAGGTTTAGCTAGCACTGAGGGGGGGGGTCACACACAGAGCAGGAAGAAACTAGCAATGCTCATGGTATCCCAAACAGCGGCACCAGCAGCTGCATTCTAGAGCCCCTCCCCTGGCCACAACAGGGCAAGCTTTCTGGGACACTGTCTTGACAAGCATGGCAGGGGCCTGTCCTTCAGAGACACCACCCCAGAGGGAGGACCCGGCAGAGGCATAATTACAGAAGCCCTGCAAGCTGATCTTTTATCAATCTAAGTCTGCTGATTATATATACCACCTCATAGTGCTTAAAGCAGTCTCTGGGCAATTTATAATTTAATTATGCAGGCTACACATTGCTTATCTTATTGGCCCGAGGAAGAGTCTGTTTGGGAGGTCTGGCCACAATGGCAGTGTCTTTCCCACTGAGAGCGCGTTCTGTCAAGCAGGGGACGTAGTCGGCCCACACCAGTCATGCCTGAATCTGTAGAAAAACTTACTTTTCTTAAGGTCAGCCTACCATTGTTGGGCCTCCCTGAAGCTCCCTTTAAGTAAGAGAGAATGACGTACTCTGCTGAGAGTACTGGGTATGCCCTGCTTCCATCTGCTGCCCCCTATTTCTGCTTCTTTCATTCTTCCAACTGTAGTCCCAAGATTGTACTCACTGTGATGAGCCTCGTGGCGCAGTGGTTAAACCGCTGTACTGCAGCTAAAACTGTGCTCACAGCCTGGGGTTCAAATCCCAGGTAGCCGGCTCAAGGTTGACTCAGCCTTCTATCCTTCCGAGGTCCGTAAAATGAGTACCCAGCTTGCTGGGGGGATGGGGGCAATGTGTAGCCTGCATAATTAACTTGTAAACCGCCCAGAGAGTGCTTGAAGCACTATGGGGTGGTATATAAGCAGCATGCTTTGCTTTGCTTTTGCTTTACTTACTCAACTGTGCTGTGTGCCATGTGGTTGGCACAGTTCCCAATCACCCCCAAGCTCTTGGCTGCTCCAGCCTGCCTGCCAGCGCTGCCCAGGGTATTTGCCCACTTCCCACTGTGACCTGTCCTCTGCTTCCCCAATGCTGTTGACATTTCCTACTGGCATTCCCACTGGTCAGGGTTCAGTCAGTATCCCCATTACAGTCATTTCCTAAATAGCTGGCCACTGTTGTTGTGCACTCTTTTTGTTTAGCACAATTACTGGGAAGGTGTCAGAGGACACAAAACAAATTGTTTTAAAATGCTTTGCCAGTTTGTGTATTTTAAAGGGGACAATAATGACTGTAACAGTACCCATATTGACTTTAATGGAGTTCTGGAGATTCTGAATTTTGAAAATTCTGAATCCGAAGGGTGGCCATTTCAAATTTCAAATATGAATCTGAATTTTGGTGCTGGTGCACATCTCTGCTCGTAACCTCATTCCACAAAACTGATTGGTGTGTCAGTGCCTTTGGAGATAGACCCTGAGGTTGTAAACTGGGGTGGAGAATTTGCGACTCTGCTTCTATTGTTGGACTGCAACTCTCATCGTACCTCACCACTTGTTAGGACTGATGGGTGTCTCAACCCAACAACATTGTGAAGTCCACTACCTATCTATTCTGGTGTAACCTTTGGAGGGGCAGGGCATACTTCTTAATGGCATTTTTACATTTTGTTGAATATTGTTACGTAGTAAAGCTGTACAGTTTTCTGAAGGTAGTGTTGATCTGATGAAAATGATTGGAAAACTTCATAAATCACCTCTCTAATTTCAGGTTTCAATGTCTCGCAGCATTTATTTTGGGTCCGTCATGACAAAGCTCAGCCTGGTGGCCGTGCTGCTTTTTATAACAAGCTTATATCCATGCTTAAATGACAGAGTTGCTGTAAGTATCCTTAATAATTGAACAGTGACAAAGTCTGTATCAGGAAATTTAGCTCAACAGAATGGAATGGTGTTGATAGAATGAGATTATTCATACGGATTTGTTCTGAAAACAATCTTAAACTGGAAATGCTGTACTTTCAATGCAGATAATTAACTACGTATGTAATAAGATATCTGAAAGGCCCTTTACTCCGTGCAAAAGTTAGCAATCAAATCTTTCGCCCACAACAGAATAACTTATATACAATCATAAATCTGTTGTCTCTTATTTCTAAGGAGTTTGCTTTGACAAAAAAAGAAGAGAGTGACTTAAAGGAGCAGAATAAAAAAGAGTTAGTGGAGGAGGAGGAAGAAGAGGAAGAACTTGATCCTGAAGACTTGGAAATGTTTTACCCAACAAATCAGTGGCAGACAGTCCGGCCAGGTAAAGTAAATAAAACTAATTATACTGCTCTATCGATCACAATGTTCTGTGTTAATAAGAAAAGTTGCATAGAAACTGAAATAGGCTGCAATCCGCTATACGAACGTCAGATGCACTGAGATGCCAAAAAAGTTCAGTTCAGTTCAGTCCCGGTCCTAAGAGTAAAACCATCTGTTACCCTGTTCCAAAGTTTCCTTATACGTAGAAAAAACCCATTTCACAAGGTTAATACTGTTCCTGGAAAAGAAGAAGCATAGCAAACATGTTCAACACGTATGTATCCCTCGTCTCTGTCCTGTGATCGTAAATGTCTTCCCCGCAATGAAAGGGATTCTATGGGACCCCCAGGAGTGTTGTGTAAATCAGAAATAGTTTATCTCCCCCAAAAATCACTGTGGTTGATGATGTCCTCAGTCTCACACAATATCATTTACAGAACTGGATTTCAGTCATACTGTTCCATATGTCATTTCTATCAGTATCTTAAAGAGACATTTCCACTGAGTATTTGGGAATGTGCATGATTGTTTAAACTGGAACACTTCTAGCTTGAATTTCTTGCAGTGTTTTTCGCTTCCTTTGAGATTTTCTGGTCTGTGCATATCTTTTAAGAACAATCATAGAGACAAGGAAATGCACATTTAAGCAACCAGTAAACATTGAATTTTGTATGAATGATCATGGCTTTGCTAGATACAAAATATCAAGTGTACAGAATATCCAAGTGGTCTGTCTCAGGTAGCCATTTAAACAACATCTGCAGATGGTGATACTGTATATTTACACTGGTGCAGCGCCATTGTCATATCTTTCAGTGGTGAGTTGCTGCAAGATAAGAAATCAATGTAAGAATCTCTTGTCACACACATGATTATTTGGTGCAGAAAGTTAGGGGGATGGAGTTACCCTGGCAGTCATAATTGACAGGTTTTATTCAGTTGAACCTAATACAATAGAATCAGATTTCATGGCCCTTTTCTGTCAATACTTTAATTATAAGCAATCGCCAGGTTTAAAAAAATTGTAGATCCCACATATTTCCATCAATATAACTGTTATAGTCACCATCTGGTGGTCTCTGAACACCATCTGCAATGGGAGTGTGTGTCAGATTTCTGTAAATTTTTGTAACTCTTGTGGCAAGAATCTTAGTATTCTGGTCCTTTTACTTGCACTCATATAATTAATAAGCATTTACACTGTTCAAAGCATTGCTCATCCCTTACCTCAATAATCCTGCAGTTTGAAATGATTATCAATTTAAGTTAAAACTTTGAATATGAAAATCAGTGTAAATTAGAGCACAAATATATAGATGTATAACTTAGTTAACACAGTGGAATTAAATTAAACTTACTCTCAATTGAAAGGATATAAGATTCCAACTTTTGTATACCGTGGTATATGATTCTCTAGCTGTTTATGGCTCCATTCATACAGATCTCTCATGCTCACTGTTCTAAGTTTTCTTCTAAAAAGTATATGCATTTTATTTATTGTGGTGTTGTTTTTTTTTTTGGTAATTTGGATTTCCTCCCCTCCTGTCTCAAGACCTCAGGTATTTGCATTGCAGTCTTTCCATCGTTGTATTTAGAAGAGATAGTCTTCATCACCAAATGCAAACAATAGAACTGCACCCCAAAGGGACTTAATTGTCCACATACCCCATTGACTACAGTGAGAGATTGTGCAACACTCTCTCCAAAGAATTGCTCAACCACTAAATCAGTACAAGTTGTTGGCAACTTGTACCCAGAAAAAAAAAACAGTCTCTTCTGGCAACAGTCCCATGTATAAATGTATAGATATTTACCATGTAATCTCTTACGTCAGAAAAAAATGGGCTTGTCCATGAAAACTCACATTAAAACATGGCAGTTAGTCTTTAAGATGCCACAACGCTTTTGTCTTTATTGATTTTTTTTTTAATTTTTCTTTTGGTTTTGTCTTATAGTCTTCCCATTGAGATCTTGTGCAGGTTTCTTCTCTAATTATTAGACTTTTTAAAAGGGAAGCATACAAATAATAGAACTGTACTCCAGAAAAAAGGGTTGACATTTTTATACTTCATCCTTCTCTTTGAAGTGAAAAACAAAAACAAAGAATCTTATGTCACCTTAAAGACTGAAAAGATTTTTTAGCCTAAGCTTTCAGCATTAAGCTAGGTTCTAGGTGACCCTATATTTGTGTTTGATTGACTTAGCTTAACACTCTTTGATTGGCTACCTTTTGTATGTTGAATATTTGAAATGACAACAATAAACTTAAAATGAAAAAGTGTGCCCTAAGACTCTTAACATTTTATTTGCAGGTCAGGCTGTTCCTGCTGGGTTACATGTGCAATTAAATCTACAGACAGGAGAAAAACTAGCCAAGCTTCCAGATGATGATCATGGGAAAAAAGACCATCCAGAAAGCAAAAGGTATAGCAGCTTAAATACCTACACACCTGCCTAGACTTGGAAGCAGATGAGTTTCTGACAGTTTTCTTCTTCTTCTTCTTTGAAGTGAGATGTTTGACCTTGGATGGGAGGGGGGGAACTGTGGGCTTTCAGAAGTTGTTCTTTGCTGTTTTAACAGAAAAAGTAAAATTCTCAAATGTGACCACCACAGTCAAAAGCTAGTTTGAGGATTATTGGTTTTATAGCTTGAGTGAGGTTTTGGTTTAGTTGCAAACTGTGTTTCCATTAGGTAAAGGTAAAGGTTCCCCTTGACATTTTGAGTCCAGTCGTGTCCGACTCTAGGGGGCGGTGCTCATCCCGTTTTCAAGCCGTAGAGCCAGCGCTTGTCCGAAGACAGTTTCCATTAGTGGACCATATATAGAAGGGCCTGTAATAAACATAAAAATACATAAGGATGGCCCATGTCTCTTTTAAGGTTCAAAAGGCAAGCAGGACAGCAGTTGTGCCTTGTTACAGCTTTGACAGCGGGGGCGTGTTTTCTGCTGCAACCAGGGGAGGCTGACAGGCAGGCAGGCAGGCAGGCAGGCAGCAGGTGTAGTTCTGGCCTTCAACACCTTGTTGTTCCTACTCAACACCTGCTGCCAAAGGTGGCAGCCTTGTGACACGGCCCAACCCTGAAAATGCAGTATCACATTAAGAAACGTCATCGTAAACACTTTACCAGGACAGTCGGGAATTCAGGAAACCACTCGTGGCGCAGTGGTTAAACCGCTAGTATCACATTAAGAAATGTCATTGTAAACACTTTCAAGGCAGTCGGGAATTCAGGAAACCACTCATGGCGCAGTGGTTAAACAGCTGTACTGCAGCAAAAACTGTGCTCACGACCTGAGGTTCAATCCCAGGTAGCCAGCTCAAGGTTGACTCAGCCTTCTATCCTTCCGAGGTCCGTAAAATGAGTACCCAGCTTGCTGGGGGGGGGGGCAATGTGTAGCCTGCATAATTAACTTGTAAATCGCCCAGAGAGTGCTTGAAGCACTATGGGGCGGTATATAAGCAGTAGGCTTTTGCTTTTTTAAAAAAATCATAGCATAAAATCAGGTTATAATTTAAAAAATACGATCACATCTGATGCATTTTAAATACAAAAATAAGATCAAAGTAGGGCTTTTGCTTTTTAAAAAATCATAGCATAAAATCAGGTTATAGTTTAAAAAATACGATCACATCTGTTGCATTTTAAATACAAAAATAAGATCAAAATGATCAGTGAAACATAATCCAAGAGTTACTGCTGACATTGGTCTCATTGCATGCTGAAGGTCTCCAAAGCCTAGTTTAAATACACTTTTAGAAAACTGAATCTGTATCTTTGTAGATTTTATACTAAATGGGGATGAGCACCGCTCCCTGGAGTCGAACACGACTGGACAAAAATTGTCAAGGGGAACTTTTACCTTGCTATGGCATATGGCTAATGCAAATAAATGTTGATTGATTGATACACTTTTAGAGGATGAGGTCATCTTTTCAGGCCAGGTGGTTCCTGGTTGACTCCCTAGTTATCTTATAGAGGAAATGTGATTTTTGTTGTAAAAAATGATTTTTAATATCTGTTTTATAAGACATGCATGATTGAAGTGTGTGGTTAAATGTTGCAGTGATTCATACTGAGGGGTTTCTTGTCATTTGTTGGCTTACAAGTGTGTTTATAAATGAGATTTTATTTTAATTTGACTCAGAGTTGGTATTATTACTAATGTTGCTGATACTTTCTAATTTAAATTGATTCACATGTATTTTTTGGAATCTAGTCCAAACAGACTTTGTAGTGATAATATTTTATTTTACATTACAGTACTTCAGAGTGATTAATATATATCTTTTTGACAGAAACTATAAGTCTAGTGTGGAGAATGAGTTGGCAATGTCAGGGGCCATTTTACACACACCACTGGGCTCTAACTGAGCAACACCAGTCTCTCCCTGCAAGCAAACTGGGCATAGTGGTGTTGGACTCTGAAGGGGCACAAACGCAGCTTTGGGGCAACCACACTCCCGGGTGGGTTCCCCCATCCACCATGGGGTCCCCCGAATCCCCTCTGACACATCTCCCACACCCTCCATTCCAACCTCTCTCTCCGCTCCCTCTCAACCTTCTCCTTCTCTTCCTTTAACTTCTTCCGCCACTCCTTGGTCTTTTTCTCACCCCAGTGGGATGGCTTGGGCGTGAGTTCTCTCCTCCTCCATGCATCCGCTTCTTCCTTTGGAATCCTTAGTTTTTCCACTTGCTCTGTCCAAGGGTCTTCTATCCAAATCCATTCCCAATTACCTGGTAACTCCCCTCCTCCTCCTTTTATATCTCCCAACCCCGCCTCCTTCCTCTCCTCCTCCTTTTATATCTCCCAACCCCACCTCCACTACTTCCCGCCCTTTTTCTCCTGTGCCCGCCAAAAGAGTCCCGGTATCTTTAACCGTTAGTTCGTTCAAACCCTTCTCTAGGTTCCCCGGGTCTTGTCCAGGTGGTCTTGTCTTCCTGGGTGGGGGAACTGGTGAGGTCTGACATTCTTTCTCAGCGGTTGGTGGGAGGGACGGCACTCCCATGAGAGGGGTCTCTCTCTCTCTCTCTCTTACTTCTGGTCTCACAATGGAGCTTTCTTCCATTTTTTGTTTATCTTTTTGTCTGAACATGGGTGCTTCCTCTTCTCCTCTTCTTTGTTTGTGTTGCAGTGGATTAGGGCAGTAGTCCCCAGTCTTGGGACCCCAGGTGTTCTTGGACTAAAACTCCTAGAAGCCTTCACCATTAGCTGTACTGCCGTGGATTTCTGGGAGTTGTAGTCCAAGAACATCTGGGAACACAAGGTTTGGAACCTCTGGACTACAGAAAGAATCTGGGCTTTGTTTGGCATTTGTTTCCTTGGTTTGTTGAGAGAACAGCAAAAAGAACATACAGTGGGGTCTTGACTTGAGAACTTAATCCGTATTGGAAGGCGGGTCTCAAGTCAAAAAGTTCTCAGGTCAAATCTGCATTTCCCATAGGAATGCATTGAAAACCATTTGATCCGTATCTGCTCTTTTCCGTCCATAGAAACTAATGGGAAGCTGCTATTCCGTCTTCGACCACTAGAGCGGGAGATTTTTTTCTTTTTTTCTTAGGTCAAGAAAGGTTCAGGGAAGGCAGGGAAAAGACAGTCCAGGCAGTACCAGGCAGTCTGAAGACTGTCTCCCAATCCACTCTCTAAACGCTGGGAGGAGTAAGGAAGCAGACAGGCACCCTTTTCACTGGCCAACAGTTAACTGAAAGTTCACATTTTGCACTTTCCCTGCCTCCCGCGTGGGTTTTTTTCAGTTCTTAACTCAAATCTAAGTATGTGAGTCAAGTCAATATTTTCCTATGAGAGTGGTTCTTAAGTCAAAATGTTCTTAACTCAAGCCGTTCTTAAGTCAAGACCCCACTGTATGTGTTTGGATAGCACAATGGGTAAATCATGGAGCTCCATGTTTTGCTTAGTTGACCTTTGCTGCATTTGGTTCATGCATGAAAAGCCAGTTTTCTGCAGTTACCTGGCTTGTTGATTTATCTGAATCGGATCTTTGTATTGTCCTTCTCCTGGAACAGAAAAATGAGTGTGGAAGGGCTGAGTCTATGTTTAGACTAAATCTGTATAATAGAACTGATAAGCATCAAGGAGTCATTTTTGTTGAGTAAGTGCAATAATGGACTCAAGATGCACATTTCAAGAACTACATGGGGAGAACTCCAAATTCAGACTTAGTAATTCCACAATGCAGATATGATCACCCTTTTAATCTGAAACACTTGAAATTTCATACTTCTAAAGCCTATGATTTCTTAGCTCCATGGGAAATGTATTGCCTGTTGATAGAGCTTTCTCTTTAAATTATTCATTTTCTTCAGTGGAAACATGTGCCTGTATACTGTATATGCTTAAGGAAGGACAAGTTATATATGGAGGAACTTAAGGATGTTGATGTTACAAACAAGCCAGATGGTGGTGGTCAAGTGTCATCTTAGTCTTACTCATACAATTACTGTGAGAGAAGTGGTTTCCTCCTCCCCCTGTAATTTCCATGATGACAAGTACAGCCACCCTCCCATGTTTTGATTTTGAAGATGACTTCTTATGTTTGGAGGTATTGAGAATTTTCCCTGTGCATTCTAAATTGATGTGTCTTGCGGAGGTGGATAGGAAATGAATAGCAATGTAGGGGGGGAAGCTTCATGCTTGGCTCTGTTTGAGAGACATCATCTCTACGAAAGTTGTTTTTATTATGCTGAAATTTGCCCAGAAAATCCGGATATCGAAACACATCTACTTCAACAATATCAATCATCCTTGGTTATGAGATAATCTGTGTGCTGTGTAAAGAAGTTCCTTCTTCTTAGTTCTGAACATGCCATCTATCAACCTCAGTGCCTGTGACAGCCAGAGGAAAAAAGTCCCTTTCTCTCTCTCAACCCTTCTGTCATATCAACTTTGGAAACTTTTTCCACGTACTAAACTCATAAAAAGATATTCCAAAACTCTCATCATTTAAATTGCGTTTGCTTATGCTTTGTGGCTTTATGATTTATCTGCAAAGGTACCCAGATTTTATTACTATCATGTGCTGTCAAGTCAGTTCTGACTTACACTGACCCTTTTTGATTTGCCTGGATTAAAATCTGTTAGGCCCAGTGCCACCTCTGGACTCTCTCACTCTTCTTCCCCTGCCTCAGCTTTTTTTTTTTTTTGTCCACGTTCTGGTCTTATTTTTCTCTCCAGCTCAGTATTCATTCCACCCACCAGAAAATGGGAGATCCTTATTTAGATGTTAGGAGATGTTAGCTTCAGAGTTGCATTCATTCATTTAGTTTCATAGTTGTATTCATTCGTTATGGTTCAAAGAACGGTACCTGGGGGGCTATGTTGTTTATAATATTTGTTTGTAATATTGAAATATTGTTCTGAAATATTGATTGCAGTACAGTACGTGTTTATCATGTGATAAAGAGTGTTGACAGAAAACCTGTGGACAAGTAGCTGGAGGAAAAGGATTTTGGAGTTTCAATTTATATGATATGCGTAACAAAAAAGCCTAACAAATGTCTATGATCACTTGCAACTAAAAGCTGGATATCGTTGGACCCAGCTGGGGCTCTGGGGAAAACAATTTTGAGATATAGCCAGTACAGTTATCTAAGTTGGGAAATCAGTGGTATCCGTGCAGAGAGCCCCCGCCCCAAACGAGAAATGTAGAAGATATCTTTAGGGACTGAAATTCATTTCATCCTCTCAATGGACAAGTATAATAGACAGTTCTAGAGGGCAGAGAGAGTTAATACATACAGTAGGTTGTTGAAATTAGGTGTATAGGCCAAAGTCTTGTCGCTTTATGTGGTAAATCACACTGGAGTAGGCTCATTGAATCAGTCACAATTTGGTGAGTCAGCTCCTCTATAAGTTCCTTTGGTTCAAATGGTCCTACTCTAACTTTACTTTAACATATTACCGTACATTGCAGTTAAATTGGAACTGAACTCAGATATTTTTTTTACAGTTCAGCTTCTTGGTTTGGGGCCATACAAATTTCAAGTAGATTAATTTTTTCAGAAGAGATTGTATGTGGGGTGGGGAATCCTCTATCCGCCCCAGAAAACACCTGCAAGATCAGGGTTTTAGGATCATGTGGCACTTTACTGGTAGAGTGCAGTAGCCTAAGGGTGAGTATTTTTTTAATCTAGAGAAGACTTGTGTTACTCAGATATCAGCCTTGGGGCAGTGGGAGATTAGTTTAAGAAGCTGTATATTATTAGGGCCTGGGTCACCAGTGCAGCCATTCAGCCCCCTCTGCCTAGGGGGATCCCTTCCCATGGATAACAAGGAGAAGGAACTATAGACCATGTTGGTCAACTTGTATGATCCACCCAATTTCATAATTATTTAGATAAGGAGTAGGGAACTGTGGCCCTCCAGATGTTTACAGCCTACAACAACCCCGGTCAGCAGCACAGCTGGTAGAGTGGGTTTCTGCAAGTTGTGTTCTGAAAACCTTGTGAGAGGCTTAGTTGTTCACCCCTTGCTCAGACCTTTTCCCCCCAGCCCAGTCTTCCTGTAGGCTGAGTGCCGTCCCTTGCAGGTTCTTGTCAGATACTTGAGTCTTTTTTCCCTATCATTTCCTTTTAATTGATAGAATTATTTATTTGTGTATACCTAGAGTATTTCCTAAGTACTGTACTGTATTCAGAAGCCATGTCTTGTTTTTTTTAGTACATCCATTCTACTTCCAAAATGATGGGCACTCAATCACCTGTGCTTTCCATTAGACTTAAAAAAAAATTCTCATGGAATCTGTTCTCTGTGTTGTTTTGTTTCAACTGAGTTTTAATTCTGAAGAGCATTGCAACAACAATCGCATGCCCTTGTTCTTCAAGCCAGGCCTGAATGCCTCCTAGTTCTTAAGTGGAGGTCCTGATAATAGTTTTGTATCCTTGTAAACATGTACAAAGAATACAACTCAGACTGAGCTGCTGGAGGACTCTCTTCTCCATTGTTTTTGCGGATGTTTGTGGTGCCTTCAAATGTGTTGATGTGTTCCTTTTGAATACAAATCTGTTTGTTGTCAAGGTTTAATATTAAGATTTCCATGACAATGACTGACTGGCAACATCTGGATTTTTACCTTGCAGATACACCTGATCTGTTTTGTATACTTCCCAAAGAGCTATGAGGCGAATGTAGTTAAAATGGATCACCAAATTCCTGCTTTTATGACTTTGGATCTCTTTTACAATCTTAAAGCACCAGTATTAACATGAACACAGCACTGAGTCTTAGTTGCAATGTTGCTGTTTCTGTATATTTTATGCTAAATCAAATAAACAGGCCCATGATATCTGTTGGCTTTCCAATGTTTTCTTGCATATTTCCCCCCACTTTTGATCAATGCATGATTTATGCTTTTGTTTTGTACAAGGCTGGGCCCCATAGATATTGACCCAAGTTCATATACGACGCAAGAACTCAAAAAGGCTTTGTCTAAAATGAAAAAAAGTAAGAAGACGGAAGACACACTGGAAGAAAAGGTATTGTTGGTTTGGGAAGACATCGGTAGAATGCTGCTATAAATGTAGCAATTAAGCTTAGTATCCTGTTGAGTTTCTGCTGAGCGGAAACTCCTGCCAGTCTCATCATACAGGATTGCCCCATTTGTGCAATAGCAAAGTGTGCAGCTTATATACCACCCCTAATGCTTAAAGCTCTCTGGACAGTTTACAATTTTATTATGCAAGCCATACTTTATGCAGACTACACTGCCACCCCTACAAACTGGGTGCTCAATTTAATGACCTTGGAAGGTTGAATCAACCTCAGGCGTCCTTCCTGAGCCTGGAATCGAACTTAGGTCATGAGCAGAGTCTTCACTGCAGAACTGCAGTTTAACCACTGTGCCATGAGGCTCAGTGTTACCGTTCTGGAAGCGAAGGGTAGGTTTTCTTCATGGAGATCACCATTCACACAGCAGCAATACTGCATGTGGTGCAGTTCCAACTTACCTATGCTGGTGGAATTTTTTGCTCGGTGGAAGCTCAGTAGGATACCTAGCCTAAATGTTCAATCGAACTGTAGGAAATAAGAGGGAACCTTAGCATGTGGTTTAAACTCATATATTCTGCTATAAAGATTTCATTTGCAACTGAAATGGCATATGGTAATTCTTTGAGACTATGTTGCCTGGGCAGAAGCAGAAAGTGCGATCAATTTGTTGCATATATGATTGTATGGGTAATTGTGTTCTAGGTTAGGTCTTAATTTTTTTTAATGTAGTCAATTTGTTCTGGTAGAATTTGTACTTTGGTTTTAATCCTTTTCCTACCACCACCTCTTTTATGGGAAAGGGAGACTAGTTTGGTGAAGCTAGAAGACTTTCTTTCCTCCCATTTCTGTTCCTGGCAGAGGTAATTATTAGTCAGTAAGCAAGCCTCTCCTTGTTATATGATGGAACATCTCTCCCTAAGATTGTCCACTCAGGCCACCCAGGTTTTGCGGTTATGGGTGGCTACCCCTAGAGAGGGCGAGAAAAATGCCACCAGGAACTGGGCTTTCTTCAGTGGTGGCACCAATGCTATGTAATGCATTTGCCACAGTTACAGTATATGCCAGGCTTGCTCCCTTTTGGTCTTTAGGAAATGGGTAAAAACTGCTGTATGTTGTTTGAAGAGGCCTTCAGAACATTCTTACCTCTTTGACATCCTCATGGATCAACAAACTGGATATTGGTCTTGATTAACCATTATCCTCTAGGTTTATTTTATATCTTGGATTATTGCTGCTTGGGTCTGCATCTCATTATTTATGTCTTTTGTGGACTTGGGTGGGTTGTTGTGTTTTTAATTGCTGTTAGAGTAGTGTTTAGGCACTAGATGGGCAGAATATGAATGAATGAATGAATGAAATATGAAAGAATGAATGAAAGAATGAATGAATTAATTAATGAGTAAGAGTGACAGAAACAGCCCTGAAACTAAAGAAAGGGATTTGCAGAAATCCCAAGGGACCTGGGTTTTCCACTTCTGGCCAAATAGCATGAATTGACACATTATATAAAATTTCAACCTAAATCTTGTTCATGACAAATATTCAGGTTTTGACATGTAGTAACAACTCTGACTTAAGTCTGTAAATTATCCAACACCAATAAAATTAAAATTCTAGGAAAATATAATGGTAATTTTTTCCCTCAGTGAAATAGCCTGATTTTGTAGCTGATCTGCCTGAATACTGCAATTCTAAAACAGGAAGAAGTTCTGTCCTTGCCAGTCTTCTCCCTCCCTCGCCCCGCCCCGGAACATTTTGATGGGTTGTTTTTAATCTTTAGTTCAGCCAGTTAGATTTTGAGGAACAAGGCTTTTAAAAGTAACTTGCAGACTTGGTCAGCTTCCACCTGTCCAGCTCAGGTGTGAATGTATTGGATATAGTTCAGCTTCCCCTGGGTGTACCAGGTTGGATAATCCATATTAGACATATCAGAGTAATGCACACACAAGAGAACAATTTAAAGCAGAGTATTTAGTGTAGGCTGCTAGATCAATGTCAGGAAGGTCCCAAATTGGGGGAGGTCTGTTGATTGAATCTTCACTACTCTTTTATTATGGTAGAATCTCTGACTGCTAATTAAAAATAGGTTCTTTATAAAACCCTTGTATCATTTGTATAATTTTCATGGAAGAAAACTGGGTTTTTACAGTGGAGCTCTTGATAGTCCATGTTCCCCATCAGCAATTTAGAACTCAATTAATTATCAGTTGACTGGGCTTGAAGTTGGCACTTCTAAATCTGGAAATGTTTAATTGAAAACTGTTGTAGAATCGTCTCTAGCCTTGGGTGTGTACAACTGTTGAAATCTCTTGTGCCTCTGAAAGGACAGGTATCCTGTCACATTTGATTTCCAGAAACTGTCAGAGAAAGGAGGGGGAAATCACAAGAGAACATCTAATTTTCCTCTTTGATGTCTCTTTGATTACCTAATCTGTTAAGCATTTTTAATTGCTCACTACCATGTAGAGTGAAGAACGGAATCTTACGAAAGCAATATTAGTCAATAATGAAGAGTTTTGCTGGGTGCTTGTAAATCATAATTCTCTTCTTCTTTTCTTTCTTTTCTAATCTTTTTAAACTCATTCTGGCAGCTGCCTCCCTTTGAACTTGGGAAGGTCATTTTGCCTCTCTTGTGCATCTTGTCTTCTGAAAGATTGATGCATCTGTTTTATTCCACCTTTTGTGCGAGTTGTTTAAATACTCTAGTGGGTTTCTCCCATGAGCAAGGTGAAGAACAAGAAAGGAACTTGCGTAGGACGATAGGTCCATTTCTGCAATTGTGGTGTACTCTGAAGCCAGAAATGCCAATTTAATGAAGCTGGATTATATTGTAGATGTCCTCACCTTCTGTACTTTTTCCACTTTTTCTACTTTTCCATAAAAAGATTTAAATGAGCAAATAAGAGACAGGATATGATGTCTGGATCCTCCTGCCCCCCTCAAAAGAGAAAAAGCCCAATCATGATGCAGGAAATACTAAACTAAGCAGACACACAGATCTCCAAATGTTGCAGCAGGAGCCAGGGCAGAGCCAAATTGGCAAGGGAAATGGGGTGGCAGGAGGAACATTTAAGCCTTTATTTCATATGCCTTTGGCTCAAGTGGGGCAAATGGCACTTTTGCTATTTGGGAAGAAATGAATGTTTCTTGACACAGTTGGTCTACCGTCAACTGCATTTTGAGGTTTTGATATGTGTGTGTGTGTGTGTGTGTGTGTGTGTGTGTGTGTGTGTGTGTGTGTGTGTGTGAGAGAGAGAGAGAGAGAGAGAGAGAGAAATCCAGGAGATCCCCATGTATACCTCCATATTGCACCTGGTTTTTCCCCTTTTTTCAAAATAAAATATACAGCTGTAGAATTGACATATGTAAAACAATACATTATAGTTTGCTTTTTGCTGTTTTAGGATACTGTATTTGCTGGCATATAAGACTACTTTTTTGCCCTGAAAAACATGCCTCCAAGTGGGGGAGCCGTCTTATACGCTGGGTACACTTCAGTTGGGATAGACATAGCTGCCCATAGTGGCCTTCCGATGCTCGCCCGGTGCCCATAGTAGCCTCCCGATGCCTTCCCACCTCATTCTACATACTGTCCAGTATCACGTGGTATCCAGCGCAGGCACGGCGAGCATCAGCAGCGAGACGGGGTGCCAGCATTTTTGATGCGACCGACCCGTTCTGTTCGGCGGGAAGCAGCAGTGCTCTGGCCCACCCCTTGTCTATGCAGAGCTTACACATGCTCACTTGCGCACTAGTGCCGGTCACAGGGAGATGCAGGGGTGGGCCAGAGGCGCTGTGGTCGCGCTGCAGCCGTACAATGGTGACAATGAATAGCACCTTTTATTTGGTGTGTGGAAGGTGTGCGGAAGAGGGGGTAGTCTTATACGGCGAGTATATAACAAACTCTATATTTTGAGTGGAAATGTTGGGGGGTCGTCTTATACACCCAGTCGTCTTATACTCTGACAAATACGGTAATTCGTTTATTTGTGTCTGAACAATGCAACAAGCTTTGGCAAGTATTCAGGAAACAAAATAAGTAATCTCTACCATGGTTCACCTGGAGAGTTCTGTTGTGGTTTGTTTCCCCGTTTCTCAAGGCTCATCAGGAAGATGTCAGACAAAGGTTTCGTCCCATTGAAAAGCTTAAGGAAGAGTTCAGGGAACTCAATGTCCAGATGGAAACAGAGTTTGAAATTATGTTTAAATTAATTAATAAATTCAACAGTTCTTCTTCAACACTGGAGGAGAAAATCACAGCACTTCATGATCTTGAATACTATGTTCATCAGGTAAGAAGATTTTTTAAAAAGCATCAGCAGCTGTTATGTGATATGTTAGGAACGTTGAAGCATAAGAATAGCTTTCTCATAGCAGCAGATGTTATGGAATAGCAGCACTCAGCTTCTTCACACATGACATTTTACCTACACAGATGTACACATTTGTAAGGGAGAAATCACTATCATGTGTGAAATTGGGTGGATTGTAAACATTTGGAAGCTGCTGTTTCTTATACACATGCATGCAGAGGCACACAAGAAAGGAGACTGTTGCAGTATTAATACAGAGTTGAAATCCTAATGAAACTTCAGGTGAAATCAGTAAGACTTAGAATGTTGCCATCAGAATTTCCATTAAGGTAAACTTTGGAATTTCTTAAGCAGTATATTTGAGGAGCTTCAAGGCAAGTGGAAAGAGTTTTCATAAAGCTAGCAGCATTTTTCTGGTTTCTGCAGATCCTTAGTTATAAAAAGCCTTCTGGTTTTTATATTAGTTTTTAATTCTATTTCAGAACCACCGGTTCTTGTGTCTTTTATATTTAATGAAAGCAGCTTACCTTACTCTTCTGTATTCCCTCTTCCGGTATGTTTGTAGAATTCATAGAGAAGCTATAATGTTTTTTTTTGGGGGGGGGGTGAAGCTGCCACAGTCCTCTGCTCATGAAAAATTCTCCAGTTCTGTTATCATTTTACTTTCATTCCACTGGATTTTCTAAACTGAAATTCGTTCTCTCTGAACTTCTGTAGCACAATGAGGAAGCTGCATTTCATGGATGGTTTTGTCTGTGTTGTGAACAAAAGTACCACTGCAGTATTTTTTTTTCTGATTAAGAAGTCTGCCCCAATTCATCAGTGTTAAATGTCACACTTTGTTAATACGTCACATTGCTGGCTCAGCCATCTTCCAATCAATATTCCTGGTTCTCTTTCCACCTCATTTGTTCTAGCTGATGAGTTTCTAATCAATAATACAAACGGTTATCGTTAGTCCCCAAGTATTTCAAACTCCGTCACCCTGTCAGTTAAATAAAAATTTAAAACATGCAGGAATGATGTATAGATCCCTGGGCCCCTCACAGTGGTCTTCTAAACAAGGAACAACTTTGTATTTCTTTCACATTGCTCTTCCTTTTAGTAAGTGCCATGCCTGGAAAAGGCTTTAATAAATTAATGCACCATTTGAAGTTTCACTGATGTCTTCTGCATTGGATTGAACCCAGAGGCTTTGTTCTGAAGCGGAAGGCAGAGCTTGGAGTGAGGAAAGGGGGTGTCAAAACTATCTTGGCCAGATATTTAGACAAAGTCCTGGTAAATCAAAAGGAAGTTCCCAAATGGAGGCTTCATCTTTATAGAATCAGCTGAGGTATCAGATTTCACACCCGGGGATGAAGATGGCATTGTCTTTTCTCCTCTCCATAGACAAAGGGCTACCAGTCCTTCAGCATCTTTCCCATTCCTTCGTGTATCTTCCTTTGGATTTTGAGACTGGCTGTTGCTCCCCTTCCACCCCAGTTTGGTAGTGCCCAGTCTGATGAAGAGTCACTCAGGATTCAAAAGCTAGCCTGTTTTTGGCATATTAGTAGTCCAATAAAGTATTACTCATCGGCGGTTTGGGATTTTGCACATGGACTTTTTTTTTTTTTTTCAACCACATTTTTTTGGTCTGGACTTTTTCCTCCTTTCTTCTAAGTGTCTTACGGATGTGCAAAATGTGTTTTGATTTTGCTTTACATGCTTTTAAAAATAATAATTATAATTTAGAAAAAGAAGACCCATCGTGCATGTGTTTCTGTATGAATACAGACCAATATCTTTCATAGGTGGACAATGCAAAAGATTTACTTTCACTTGGGGGCCTACAACTTCTCATTAATGGACTAAACAGCACCGAACCATTGATGAAGGAATATGTCTCGTTCGTCCTGGGATCTGCGCTCTCCAGGTGAGTGTGTATGTATATGCATGCATAGTTTCTGTGTGTATTTTTAGAAACGAAATATTTACTTTAAGAAAATTTAGTGTCAGACCACCTGATTAAGCAGGGTGAGCACAAATTCTGGTAGCACGATGTGTGGTCAACCGTCTGATGTTCATGTTGTCAGAATTGCTCGACCCTAGAATGATTAAAGATCTTCTACAGCTACTAGGCAACAGCACAAGGTTGTGTCTTCCTTGGGAATAGCAAAGCAGCTGCCCATTCGTTGAAATGTGGCGGCTGGAGCAATGAACTGACCCCATCTAAATGTTCGGGTAGAGGTTTTCAGAGTCTTTTACAACAAGGAAACAAGGTGTTGGAACAGACAGTATGGTGATTAGATGGTAATTAGATATGCCTTACTGAAAGGCTTCCATGCCCTTCAGGAACAAAGCGCTGGATGAGAATATATTTGGGAATATATTCCCTATAGCAGGTTAAAGCATATGTTCATCTCCATTGAAAAGCTTCAGAAGTAAGGACAAGGACTAGTGTGGCCCCATTGCTGTTGCTGGACTGCAACCCCCATCTGCTCTAGCCAACACCATTGGTGATGGGGGATGATGGGAGTCGTAGGCCACTTGCATCCCATCACTGCCTAAAAGGCACAGAATAGGTAAAGCATGGTTGTAGAAGCCAGGTTTGGGGAGCATGTGGCTCCCCTGATAAAGGGGAATGGCAGTTCCCATCAACTCTAGTAGATTATGAGGAATCGTTGGGAGTTCTAAGTGCTCCGCATCTAGAGGCCATACATCCCCTGCTCCTGACATAGGCAAAGGCGAATGTCTTTCCCGAACAGTATTTTATATAGCTGTAGAGTTTGCAGTATAGCAGGAGAGTGAGAAGGCCAAGGACAACAGGTTTGCAAATTTCTCCTGGGTTTTCTGCTGACATCCTGTGCAAGTCCTTATCAGACTTGTCCCCGGACAGATGTGTAAGAATTTTGCACAGCTTTGATAGCATGCGAGAAGAAGCCAAATGTGTTTCACATTACAGACCGCTTTCAGACCTGTCCTTCTTAGGGCAAAGTTTTCAACCTCTGGTTTTAATTTAAGCTTTAATCACATATCCACAATCACCAATAATTGGTAGAAATGGGTTGCCACAGCTCCCCTCTGTAGTGGCATGTATATCATGTTTAAATATGCTTTTTGTCAGTAACCTTCTGTCTTTGCCCCTTGGAATTTGGTATTGCTAAACTCCTTATAACTGGTGTCATTCTTTGTCAATATGTATGTGACTTTCTGGGGCATTGAACTCTGGGTAACTACTTTATATTCAACTTAAGCTTATTAAGATGGTGAAGCTAAGACTAGTCCATTAAAACACCTCCTATCCATTATAATTTTAGTACATCAAAGCATTTTATTTCAGAATCCAGTCCTGTGTTTGACCTGTGACTTCATTAGTGCTCTGTGATACAAGGAGTTCTCTATGCTGCTGATTTGCTTTGAGTTGCCAGACAACTTTTACACAAACTGGAATATCAAGTGCTCAAAAAAAATCAATATGGAAATTGAGTACAGGACAATGTGAGGAAACATGACCCTTATTGATTTAATGAACTGCACAGAAAATAACTAGCATGCATTTCAGCATTGAGGTTCAAACCACAGAAATCAAATAGCAGGATCAATCCAGCCAGCAAGTGTACTTTGGCTTGGCAGTAGTTGAATGTGCACAAAGCCCGTGGTTTTTAAACTGGAGTCCCCAGATGTTCTTGGGCTGCATGTCCCAGAAATCCTGGCCAGCACAGCAACTGGTGAAGGCTTCTGGGAATTGTAGTCCAGGAACATCTGGGGACTCCAGTTTGAGAACCATTGTACTAAGCAACAATATATGGCTAAATACAAATGAATGGCCATCTCATGAGAAGAGAAGACTCCCTGGAAAAGACCCTGACGTTAGGAAAGTGTGAAGGCAAGAAGAGAAGGGGATGACAGAGGATGAGATGGTTGGACAGTGTCATCGAAGCCACCAACATGAATCTGAACCAACTCCGGGAGGCAGTGGAAGACAGGAGGGCCTGGCGTGCTCTGCTCCATGGGGTCACAAAGAGTCGGACACAACTAAACGAGTAAGCACCAACAACAACAGCAAATGAATGCTGCTCTTCAAATACAGTATCAGTTTTTTTTCTCTTGTCTTCTCACCTGCCTGTTCAAATCTATTGGACAGCATTTCAGATGCTTTATGATTGGTATTTGCCACAAAGTATGAAAATCCAAAATCTTGACAATGTGTAGAGGTAAATACTAAGCAACTAAGTCTCAGCAAGTGTCTGATGAAAGATGGTTTCTTAATTGTACCCTATTAAAAGAATAGCAGCAATTTAGCAAGCACACATAGAACTTTTTTGGCGGAGTTGTGTGTTTCTGCTTGAAGGAAAGAAACATTTTAGTATCACTTTTACCTATACAGTACTGTAATCAAGATACAGTAGAACCCCCATGTCCTTGAGGAGTTAGTTTCATGAACTGCCATGGATGCCTGGAACTGCTGATATGAGAGAATCCTCTTATACATCATACAAGGGAGTGGGACAAAGGCCACAAGAGGCATCTTTGTATGTCCTTGCATGTTGTATATAGGGCTGTGGCTAACTATTAATCCCATGGATATAGAAGTCCTTTGGATACTTTATCAGTAAAGTTTTTCTGTTGATGTGCTGCAACAGGAGGCAGCATATCAGTTACAGTAACAGTTCGTGCCACTGTTTTTTTTTCTTTTAAGCTTTATTGAAAAAACATGGAAAAAACAGGAACAGAACAATAGTACAGGTCTTTCATCAGGAATGTACAATCTTATAATAATACCTTCACATCACTGCAATTAGTAACTGATTAGATTGAGATGGGAGGCTGGTGGAAGATAAGTCTTGTCATCCCTAATGACATAATAAATAAAAGGAAACCGCTTATTGAAAAAAATCATCTTGGGAGGCTGGTTGTTTAAGTAATCTGATGAATTATTTTTTACACTAGAGCAATATCCCATAACCTATCTCTCCATGCATGTAAAATTAAATTCCTTTGCCAGTATATGACAAAAGCACTGCCATCCTGAAAAAGACAATCAGTTGTTCATGAATTAGCTATTCCTTATTGCCTGAAAACAAAGACAGGAGAGTTAGATCTGTTGACCTTATAATTTTTTGCCTTGTGATTAATCCTATTTCTGTAAAAACACTGGACCAGAACAACTGGATTGGAAGGCATATCCATCACATTTGAAAGTCTGTACTGACATTACCCCATTTCCTCCTACAGGTTGGACTGACTGCTTTATTGATATTACTTAAATGGAGTAATAGAAAATACCTCCTGTGCAGAAGCTTAATAGAACACTCCTCTAATTTAGAGGAGATTGATCTGAGAGGAGCCTTGTTCCATAGAGCCTGTCACTCTCCATCAGAAATGGTCAACCCTAGATCGCCTTCCGAAATTGTTTTGGGACCCAAGGCTTCTGAGTAGAGATGGGCACAAGCCATCAGTTTTGTGGTTTGTGATGGTTCATTTTTTTGTTTGGTGCTTTCCAACCCTGTCTTCTCCGGCGGATGCTCTCTCTGAAGCAGCGTCTGGAGGAGGCGGGGCAGGGAAGCCAGGGTGCTGCCTCTGACTGGGTGCCTGCTGGAGGAGGCGGGAGCTGGGAAGCACCGAACACCTGTTCAGACCAAAAACTGAACCATCATGAACCACCAAAGCAGTGGTTCATGCCCATCTCTATTTGGGAAACCCTGGGAAAGGTCACCATAAGTCAAAATTGACTTGACAGCACATGATTATTGTTATTAATGTAATTCATAGTGGAGTTCAATTAGTATTGCATATGATTTTGAAGCTAGCCCCTGCTGGAGATTTTCTGAGGCTAGTAGCAATGGCTGAAATACAGTTAATTGTCTGGCGGCCTCTACTTTCATTCTCTGAAAGGACGAAAAATGAACAATGTGAAATATTTGAAATGCAAAAGGTGAGATAGTAGTTATTTGATCTAACAGTTGCTCTCCTGATTTGGGATCATTACTTTAATTATGCTGAGAAAGGTCAGGAAAGTTTCCTGCCAGGTTCTTGTGGAGTGTGGTAGGCATTAATTATAAAATTGCAAGGTCGTAGATGGTATATGTCAGGTAGTATATAAGTATTTGCAAGTGCCTGCCTACCCTTCCAAAGTAACAGAAACGGTATGTGTGGCCTGTCCATTCATTGTCTCAACAAGTACCACTTATCAGGAAAGAAAATGACATGGCAAGGCTGGTCTCCAGTAATCTAGATCAGGTTGTGTGTGCATGGGAAGGTGGGAGTCAGTGCAGAATTAATTTACTGCAATGTAAAGCAAGAATGAATATTTGCTTAAAACAAAAATAGGAATCATGCAAACTAGCCTTCTAATGCCTAGTAAAGGACTATGTTCAGCTTTTCTGTACGTCATCAATCAATCTAAGCAAATTCATGGTTTTTGCAGTGAGATTCCACTATAGTTTTGTTTTTCTGATATAGTCATATACATCTTCAGGGCATGAGCACTTTTAGGAAACATTCTCTGATTTTTACAGACACCCCTGCAAAGGAGGCCTGCATGCTTGTGTTGTGGCCTAATAAGATGTCAAGTTCAATAAACTTTCAGTAGAGCCAGTGAGGTTTTTCTTTCCTTTGTGGTGTGCATTCGTATTTCTTTTAATTCACTCTTTTAGAAGTTTTGCATGTTGATAAAATTGCTCTGAGCTTAATGTGCTGTTGTCATGAAGGGATAATTAGACTACTGGGACATAAAGCAAGCTAGTGAAAGAGATGATTATTCCATAGTCAGAAAGGAATTTTGGGACATGGCATATGGCTTACTTTCAAAACTACTGTACGTTGACAGTGGTAGAAAGGCACTCTTGCAGTGAAGAGTGGTAAAGCTGGTGGAAGGACAGTAAATAAATGCTTGGCTAATTTAAAAACTCAGCCCCTGAGCGATGCTCTAAAAATGCCACATGGTGTTCCATTGGGATTTTCTGCTTTTTTTTTTTTTTTTGGCCTGGATTTTTCCTGTTCCTTCCCTCCATTTGAGCTTGGAATGGAGTTACGGTGTTCTGGCTATTTTTAAAAATTATTTATCTTTGATTTTTCCCTTTGTTATGGAGCTTTCCCCCAGAGTATCTTCTGGGAGGAGATGGAAATGGTTGCAGTATGAAACTGCTTACTGCACCTAGTAATGGTATTCATCAGTTTTAGTGCTCCTGCCCTATTATGACCTTCAGTGACTGATGTTTTGAAAAGTGGGTTTCCCTTTAAAGGATTATATCTAATATATATTCGCTTTGGATAAATGTTTTTGTTCCCTTTCAGAAGCGTTTGCTCTTCGATGCTTACAGTATTTACTACCCTTTCTCCTCTACACTTTAATCTGGCGCAGACCAGAAGGTGATAGGATCAAACAAACCCCCCTCAAAAAGTGGGGGCTGACAGCTTACTTGGACATTATTCATAACTGCTGCCGCATAAATAACAGCCGCTGGGAACAATCCCGCATTCACCACCACCCCTTTTTCTTAAAGGCACTGAAGTGTAATAACCATGGCAACAATTGCTGAGGGCGGGCCTGCCTGAAAGGCTTGAGGAGAGCCTCATACTTTTCAGAGAACAATAGAATCTACTTGGCAAACAACTTTGCCTCACACCTTGCTCGCCATGGGGCGGAGGTGGCGTGGTGTGGGGAGAGTGTTCCTCCTGGACAAAGCTGGCGTTTCCAGCAATGCTCAAGTGGTGTCTTTTGAAGGCATTCCTCAAATGCTGTAGTCATGGACACTTTTGTAGAACGATCAAAAGGCTGACCAGTGTGACCCGTTTGTAAAACTCAAGTTAGTCAGTGAGGTGAAACAGAGATGCTGTAGAGGTAATTGTCAAAAGCCTGGAGGTTTCTGGGGAGGAGAAGGAGTCACCCAGATGTGTGTTGTGGAGTGCCAGGATGACTGGCAGAGGAGAGTGCATCCCTCGGTTGCTTGGTCTCGGTGGGTGTTACGAGACACAACTCCTATAAGAATATGAGGAAGTACAGTATCTGTAAAAGCAGATGGTGATCAAGGATAATGCTCGTGAGACAGTGTTCTGGTCCAAAAGGGATGTCCAGAATTAGGTGCACTGACTGGTTTCTATAGGGGCATTGGATTTGCGGTGAAGCTTGCTATTGGTACTGTTTTCCTGTGTATGTTTTCCAGATTTACAATATGCAGCGGCGACTTACTTTGGGAAGTCCTAGTATACAAGGAGCGGCATCAAACCCGTTTATAGCAGTAGTAACAGCTATTTTCTCTTTGTCAGAGATAGTCTGGCCGCAGTTGTCCATGTGACTTCCAAGCTGGATGGTTGTACTGAACTGAGTGTGGGCCTGCCTTTGGAAATGGTCCAGGGAGTGAAACTAGCTCAAAGTATAGCAGCTAGATCAATAACAAAGGGTTGAGTGGCAGTACCACCTGTGGCCTGTTTTGAAAATACTGTTATTGTTTCCTGGGTCTCAACATGCTAGCCTTCATGCTCCAGGGTTTTATTAATTAAATAATTCCAGAACTGTGTACAAAGATGCCCGTTTCCTTTCCCTATGCCAACTTTAGCAGAACGGTTACTGCTGTGAATTGGTGTGGGAATGAATCCAGCCTTTGCAGTGAGACTTGTTCAGTCTTCCATGACATATAGTAGTGTGATTTTGCAAAGGATGCTTCCCCCTGAGTGCAGGGAACTCCTTGTAGAGGCCAAATCCATCAGCTCAGTCTGGTCAATTGTTGAATCTTCACCCTTCAGTACTATCATAGAGCTACCAGCAGTCTAAATAACAGTCCTGTCCTTCCTGTGCCTTTTAAGGGTCATGCTGTGCTTTGTTTTGTGTTTTCTGTCTCCTGTGGGAATATTTACAAAACCAGGCTTCAAAAGAACTGAACACCAAACAGAGGTCATAAATTACTGCCCATGCGAGATGCAGCCATACACCACTGGTTCTTAAAGCTGGCATGAATATATTTACTTGTGGACTTTGTATTTTACTCCTGAAGAAGTGGACTTGCTCACATTAAAATATAACGCTTAAGTCTTTAAGGTGCCACAAGGTTTTGTCTTTTTAAATTTTTCTTTGGGTTTTGCCTGATATACTGTGCAAATAATGACAGGAAATGTCTAGCAGATTTTGCACAGGTAGGTCAGTGTCTTGATGAGAAGGATCCCTAGACTCACAGATATCCTTAGCACCGTGAAAGGAAGGTAGGATATAGATGTAACCTAATAAATAAGATTCACCAGCTAAACTAAAGACAACTCGGCTTATTTTATTATCGTTAAATGAAACAGCATCTGAATTGTTATTCCCCAGGCTTTGGTGGAGGAAACCTTTCCTCTCTGTGAGCTGAAAGACTGATCCTAGAATAAGATTATGTGCAGCCGTGGATAATAATAAGTGTTTGAATAAATCATCATGTTAATAGAAACAGAAGAGCCTCGGAGAAGTAGAAAATGAGCTTGAATAAAATGTTGAAAAAAAGAACAGATGTGACATTATTCTGTTAATCTGCATAAATGAAACCCAAGGGGGAGACAGCACTGGGAGAAAGAGTCCCTTGCTAAGGCAGCACCTTTGGTGAAAGAAGGTTGCTTTATTAATAAAAGTTGCTGTGGCACTGAAGAGGTATCGCTGAAATGGCTGGCGTGCCCTTGATGTCCTGTTGCCGTTGGTCTAAGACATCCTACTCCTAGTTCCCTTCCTGTTGTGTTGCTGATTCTCTAGTAGGTTTTTCTCCCCCAGCCTCCCTCTGTCGTTTACAGTCCTGAAATATTTATTGCTCTGCAATATTAAGCTCATATGGTGGTTGGCACTGCAGGCTGCATTAAAAGGCTTGCTTTTTCCTTCCCAAATCAAAGCCGTTTACTTTGAAGAGGACTGGGAATGCCTGTTGTACCTCATGGCAAGTCGGAAGTCGCATTCATCTTTATTGCATGCAAAATGAGGTCTCTAGCTCCCTCCTCCTGTCTCTGCCAGCGCTCGACATTTAGAGAAAGGAGGAGGAATGTTATCTTTTGGATTCGGCCAGTCAGTCATGAAGCCTTGACATTCCCATCCGCCCTTTGGCTGCCTTCCCTTCTGCACCCCTCATGCTCAGCTGGTGGTGACATCCAGATGCTTCTGTTTTTACCCTGTTATTAAAAATATGGTCCTTTTTGCCCTCTCTGTGTGAATATTGGCAGTAGGAGGTGCAAGATAAACCAATGCTCATGATTTTATTGCACCTTTTAATGAGGCAGGCCACATCCCTGCCACGGGTAAAAGTACGTTTAACAATAATTACGCCACCAAAGAACTAAGGATATTCTTCAGTAAGTTACAATTACAATGTCGTTTAGGTATACTTCAGCTGTGAGAAAAGGAATTACTTAAAAATAGCTGGCTCCTTTAAAGTTCTGGGCACATAAACTTCCTAAAGGCCGGCGGCTTGGAGCTTTTTGACTTTCTTAAGTTGGTCGCCACCAGGTGGCGACTTCTGAGGCAAAAATAGACCCAGATGCTGTCTTCAACGGTATCGCTCAAGGCCCTCATTTTCATTTAAACAATATATTACTCCTAATATCTTTGTGCCATTGTTGTCACTTGTAGAAGGAGCCAGGCTACAGCAGAGGTTAAAGAGCACCAAAATGCCTGTGACGCAAATACATTTTTCTTTCCTTTCTTCCCAGCAACCCCAGAGTGCAAGTTGCAGCAATTGAAGGGGGTGCGTTACAAAAACTTCTGGTTATTTTGGCTACAGACCAGTCTCTGGCTGTGAAGAAAAAGGTAAGGGGGCAGCAACATCTTTTTTTAACGATCTTCTCAGAGCTGTGCATACAACTGTGTTTTGTACTAGAATGCATGCAGATCTAAGCCATATCGTGTTCAAGGGCCATACATTCAATGGTCAGAGCAATGTATTGGGTTAAAATCCCTTTCCCCAATTAAGATGGACTCCTTTCCTCAATCTAGTCATTTCTGTGCTTGATCATCTATTTACTGTAGCAGCGAGTGCTTCCCTGAAGTGCTGTGATGCGGATCCTGCCTTCAAATAGGTTGAGGTAATGGCTTTAGGTGGCAATGGCTGGCACAGTATCTGTTTAGAGGGAGGGTGACATAAAATCACCTTGTTTACTATACCTTGTGCAGGTATCGGACTAACACAAAAAATTCCACTTTTTACAGAAAAAAAATTCCCCTGTTTTTTTCTGGGAAAAATGGAAATTTTCAGAAATTTTGCATTCCATTTTTTTTGCAGAAAAAAAAATTCCCTGTTTTTTCCTGGGAGAAATGGAAATTTTCAGAAATTTTGCATCTCTAGAGAGAAATCTTAAATACAAAAAAATCTCACAAGTCTTTCATTAAGGTCTTCCTGTTATATAGTTTGAATAGACACATTATTTATCATTGTAAAACAGCACATTTCATACTATATTGTTTTTCAATTTTTCTGAAAAACAAAAACAAAACATGGCTTTGGAAAAAAACAGAAAAAATCCTCCCCCCTCAATTTTTCTGTCCCCCCCCAGGCCTTCCTATCTCTAGTTCTGTCAGGTTCGAAGTGACATATAACAACTCTACTTGGTCTTTCAAGGTAAGCGAAGTAATTAAGGAGTGGTTTTACCAGTTCCTCTTTGTTTGGTTTTTTGTTTGACTTATAACCCACCCATCTAGTGGCATTGCTGTTGCTCAGCTTGCATACAAAAAACAGGAACATAAAACACCAACCTGCACCAACCAAACCTCACATCAAAGAAAGAAAATACACCTAAAGAAAAATCCCCCAGTGCAACAGCAGGCAGAAAACAAACTAAACATAACAACATGATAAGGTATTGTGCGAGGAGGATGCCTTGAAAAGCTTCTCTGAAGAGCAGGGTTTTGACAGATTTTCTAAGGGCCAGGAGGCTCTCTTCCCTTGCATTTCCATGGCTGAGTGGAGATTCACGCCTAGGACCCCTGAGTCCTAGTCTGTCCGCCTGTCCACGACTGCACCACACTGGGTATCCGATGATACAATATAAGGAAGGTAAAAGAGTATGTCCAATATCAAGGACAGAGGGGAAACGAAGGAGGAGGGAAGAGATACGTGGTTTTGATGGCCTGGATACATGTTCATGCCTGGTTCTTCATCCTAAAGTGTCTTTTCCAAGAGCGAAAGCTGGAAAAGTTCGTTCTATGGTCTGTCTGTGCAAATTGGGGACTTCTGGTATTTGTGGTCTCAAAAAAGTACCTCTTATAAACTCAGCCCCAACCAAAACTAGTGCTCTGTTACATGTCTTCATCATTTCTGAAGGCGTGTGCTGCAGTCCATGAATGTTAAAAAAACTGTTTGCACTTCAGATGCCTCAAGACTCATTGTTGCTTTTGCTGCCGATCAAGGAAGACATCCTTGAATCCAAAGCTGCCCACATGTGTGATCTAGAAATGCTGATAAGAGAACTCTTCAGGGTTGGGAACTGAAATTGCTTAATTGTTCTGGTTGGCAGCCATCAAGAGTGTTGGATGGGAAGAACTGATTTGGTTCTTGTAGGTTTTTTGGGCTCTTTGGCCGTGTTCTGAAGGTTTTTCTTCCTAACATTTCACCAGTCTCTGTGGCCGGCATCTTCAGAGGACAGGAGTTAGAACTCTGTGTTCTGGTGTAGTGTGTGGGATAGTTGAGTATTTGTAGCTGTTGGATCAGCTTTTTGTCCTTTTCAGGAGATTGGGTGATTACAGTGATCAGGGTGTTTTTTGTTATGGGTGTATTGTTGTGATAAGGGGGGAAAGGATCTGTCACTGTAATTGATGGGTGCTGTCAGCTGGTCTTTTGTGTGCAGTGATCACCGGTCCTTTTGGCTGGGTAGAGTTCGTTGACGTTTTGCAGGCTGTATTTTTCAGTGCTGGGAGATAGACTTTGTTGAGTTTTAGTCTTTTTTCTTTTTTGTTGAAGCCCTGCAGGGTCCATTGAAATCCACAAACACCAGCAGACAACCATCAATCACAATGACAGATAATCTCCCTCCATTATCATAACAATATACCCATAACAAAAACATATCTGTTACATTTATATCCTGCCTTTTCCTCCACTGAGCTCAAGGCAGTGTACAGTACATGGTTTTCCCCCTTCCTCTTTATTCCCACAACAACATTGTGAGGTGACAATATTGAGTTTTGAGGGAGGGATTTGGCCGAGTTAATAGAATGGCATCATCGTGCAGGTGTTCTGGGAAAGAGTTCCAAGCATATGGGGAGCGAGATCTTAACAGGAGTGTCTGTTGACCTGGGCCCAAAGCTTTGAGTGGCAGAGTATGGCAGAAGTGGAGGAGCAGATCCAGCAAGGGGTAAACATCTCAAGGGGTGTAAGGCTCACAGAGGGCAAAAACCTACAACAACCATCGGATCCCCGCCATGAAAGCCTTCGAGAATACAAAGAACTAATTTGTTTGTTAATCTGTTACATTTATATCCTGCCTTTTTCCCCACTGAGCTCAAGGCAGTGTACATGGTTTTCCCCCTTCCTCTTTATTCCCACAACAACATTGTGAGGTGACAATATTGAGTTTTGAGGGAGGGATTTGGCCGAGTTAATAGAATGGCATCATCGTGCAGGTGTTCTGGGAAAGAGTTCCAAGCATATGGGGAGCGAGATCTTAACAGGAGTGTCTGTTGACCTGGGCCCAAAGCTTTGGGTGGCAGAGTGTGGCAGAAGTGGAGGAGCAAATCCAGCAAGGGGTAAACATCTCAAGGGGTGTAAGGCTCACAGAGGGCTTTGACAGACAAGGCGCTTATGGTACTCCAGTAGGGTTGCTCCTCTGCAGCTCCAGCTGAGCAAGGCTTTTCTCCTGGAATGATAAATAGATGCAGTTGCATGTTCACTGTCCCTTTGCTGGGTTACATTGCCGTTTGCTGGGCTAGATGTGTTGTGATGGTGCAGTAGCCCAGAAGCCTTTTTGAAAGGAGAAATGGAGTTTGCGTGACCGCGGTCTGCAGATTGGCTGCAGGGCTGATTGTCAGGAGGGCTGCACTCCGATCCCACTGGCAGGCCTGAATATTGGAGCCAAACAAACATCGGAGGAGACATTCAGGGAATGAGATAATTGCATTGTGCTGCTCAGTAATCCGCCTCTAGCCGTGACCAATATCCGATGTTTTCATACGGGACAAAGGCTTGATCAAGCCCCTGAGCAAAATGATCAGGATGGACTAACTCAGGGCTGGAGGGGTGGTTCTTCCCGGGCTCTTCAGGGGTCAATTTGCTCTTTGATGCATGAGATCCATTTATCCTTATCAGGGAGAGTTGCAGAGCTGTTGTTGAGCACAAATAAATGGTCAGTCTTCTTCTGTATCTAATTCAGCCAGAAGCTGGAGCAGTGAATTTGGGGAGGGGGCAAAACACTCACGATCCCCCAGCTAGCATGGCTACTGAAATTGGGGGGGGGGAGGTATATGTGATGGCTGAGAATTCTGGAGCTGCCATCCAAAATATAACTTTGCACCCTTTTGCAACAGTAACGTGAATGGGCAGCTCCTCCTTGTAGGTATTCTCAACACACTCTGTGTGGTTGAGCTAATCAGAGCTGTGCTGCCAACATTTGAGCAACGGCGCCCTGGAATATATTACCCTTTAGCCATGCTTTAAAGCCCTGAGGTTTCTGGGGATGTGTGTGTGTCCCAGGAAAAGAAAGAAGACTGATGAGGATGTTCGTATAAGAGTAGAATGCTTCCTGAGGGAGAATCCTTTTCTAGGCAAAGGCCCTTATATAAAGCTGTGCTTGCAGAAAAATGTTTACGGCATGTCTCTGAAAGCTACGCAAAGTATGTTGTTAATCTTACAAAGTACTCTCCCTGCATCCTAGAGGGAAGAAGGGGAGGCAAGCAGAGAATTTGGTCTCCTTTGGTTTGCCAGAATTGCATTCTTGTAGTGTGTTTCCACTTGAGGTGAGTAGAGGGGATGTCCCTCTCTGCCGTCAGCCCATTAACAGTGTCCAAACATAGATAGTGGAGGTGGGTTGGTGGACGGGGGTGATGTATATGGAATCTCTTGGATCCCTCTGCTTTGATTTTACCAATCTGACTTTGGTGTGTGACTCCGGAGGGCTTTTTCTTCAAATTGCCTTGAGCTTATATACAGCAGTACTTCACTACACTGCAGCCCTTCCTCTAGACTCCCACAGAGAAACTGTATCATGCGTAACAAGTACTGTAGCTAGCCTTCTGAGCACCTAACCTGCTTGTGTTAGAGGCAATCTGTTTTAGAGGATCGGCTGTCAACCTGCCTTGAAGACAGCAGTGCCTGGATTGGGCTTCTGTGTCAAGCCACTCCTGCATTAACCGTCCCAGCCCTAAATGAAACCTCTGACAAAGGAGATGATGTGGAGAACGGAGCGTGTCCTTGCCGATGTTTTGAACGCTATCCAGAACAGGCAGGGAAGTTTCTGAAAGATTAGGAGGTTCTCTAGAGAGGACATGCCTATTGATGTATTAGTTACATATATATCTCACCTCTCCTACATTGAGGTCAGGGTGGCATCTAGGGTTCTTTCTTCTTCTTCTTTCCCTTTACAACAACCCTGTGAGGTTGGCCAGTTTGAGAGTGAGAGGGTGACTGGCCATGAGCTACCTAGTGAGTTTTATGGCTCCATGGGGCCTTCAAGCTGGCTTCTTCCAAGTCCCAGTTGAACCACTCCCTCTGTCTCCTATGACAGTGGCTCTGGCTGATCTGCAGAGGCAAGTTGGTGAGTTGAGGGCAGGTAGGCTTGAAGTTGTTCTGCTGGGACCTGAAGAGGAACAAAGGTTCAGAACCATAGGATTCCCCAACCTCACTTCTGTTGCCCATCATCCAATATCCGGGGGAGAAAGGCAGGGCCCAGGGGCCTGAACTAAACATTATTTGGTTGGTTGGTTGATTTCTGTGTATGCATGTAAGACTGGCTGGGGTAGCTCAGTGAGTGAAGAATCTGACTGTGGAGCTAGAGGCAGAGCCAGCCTGGGTGGCCTTGGGCAAGCTGCACAGTCCCGGGGTGACTCCAGAAGAAGGGAATGGGTAAACCACTTCTGAGTACTCTGTTCTTAGAAAACTCTGAAAAGGGTTGCCATAAGTTAGAACTGCCTTGATGATAGATGAACAACAACAACAAAAGCAACAACAACAACAACAATAACAACAACAACAACAACAATAACAATATAATATCA